GGAAGATTGCAAACCAATTGCTGGGAAAATTACTTTATGATTAAATTAAGAGTTTTTTAGAGTTTTTACTAGTTTATTAAATAAAAAGTGGGGCTTACTGTTGTTTTTTCTACATCTCAAATAGGTTCAGCCGTTCAGAGTGTGTTCAAAACAGTCTGGTTCAAACAGTGTCTTAACTTTGTTCCAGAAGATAGGATGGGAACCTACCAAAAATCTCTATTAGGTCTTCAAATTGTATTTTTCTTCTTTTTAAAAATGTGAATTTTAGGAAATAATTGCAAAATCATTAAATCATTACTTTTATTTTGATCTTGATATGCATCAACAGCTTCTAGTTTGTTATGGGACAAGGGTCAGGAAAAATTGCAAATTATAGCAAAAAAGAGATGGAGCAGACATAGGTGTATTATAGGGCTCTCCTGGGTTTCCTAAGGGTTTTTTTTGACGCTGATTTTCTGTACTGATGATAATGATTTTAGTTTTCATTGTTATCAGCTTGGATTTTGCATCTAGTCCACAAAAGCTTGGAAACTGTTCAGTGTTTGGGGAAACTCTTTTTCTAGTAAGTGAAATCACAGTTTAAATAATTTCAGTTCTCCAAAATTTTCCAGATCAAGGCATTTTCAGGTTTCTCACACCATCACTACCTTATTATATGCAAAAAAAAGAAATTTAAAAAAAGGACCTTGTTTTCTAGCTTTGACCTGCCAAACAAAAATGTCAGAAACTCATGGTAGAATAAACAGATTTTGCAATATTGTTCTCCACAAATTATTTAATTTCCAAGCTAAATCATTCACTGTTCAGAGAGCACTCTGAATTCTCATTCTTTGTCAGAAACACTAAAGATGATGCTGGAAATAACCACAGAAAGCATGGATGGGATGGTACAGTTGTTTTTTTCACTCCAGTTTATTTTGATTAACTGAGCAAAGTTAATTTAATCATTTCAGCTTTTGCCTTTCTTTAACCCCATGCTGTTCATACTGTTTTCTTTGTAGTCACTGAACAAGAGACTAAAGTGCCCAAGAAAACCATCATCATGTAAGTGCTGATTTTTTTTTTTTTTGGTAACATTTGTGTTTTGCCTTGCTGCCTATGCATGATCCAATAACAAGCTTGTGTTTATTGGCCATGCAAGAGTGTTCATTCCCATCCCACCAGATCTCATGGTATTCTGTGCTATGCAAATTGAACACCTGAAAAAAATATTACTACCCCTTTTAAAAAATAGCAGCACTGGTGTTTGTTAGAAACAGCCTCGGTCAATTTTTTAATGACATTAAGTGTGAAAAAATTTCACTGAATACTGGCAGAGTTGCACAAGAGCTCTAGAAGGTAGAGTCTGACTCTCAACGTCAAAAAGAAATCAGCTTTGAGACCACGCTACTTGAAAAAAATATACAAATATAACAAATATGTCATAGCTTACAGTGATTTCTTCTGGCTTTCTATTTTAAATTTTTCAGGAAACCCTTTTATGATGAAGCAGAAGGAAGATGCACATTTTTATCTCCTTCTGTCTCTATATTTCTATTATGAAATTTTGTTCTGATAACGACTTGGCCTTTTTGGATACTTTGAGCCTAGTTTATACCGGATGTCTATAATATATAAAGATTAATTGCAGCAAAAAGCAGTACTTTCTCAATCATATGTAGACCAGAAGCTCATCAGCCATTAAAATCTTAAAGTAACATCTTGTTTTTAAGCATCATAAACACATAAATAATCACATTGTTTCATGCGCTGGAAGTGGGCATTGTCCTCCTGTGGTAGGCCTCCAGAGCACCTCCAAACTATTCAAATCATGTTCTAATGGTCACGGTTTAACTAGACAATGGATATTTTGGGGGAATGCATTCCATCAAGAGTTGTAATGGTGCTAAAATCAGTCCTTGACTTGGACATGATGCTAAAGTTCACTATTTTTACTTTCATTAGATGGTGAGAAGGATGGGTGAAAGGACAGCTAAAGTACGGTTAAGAATTGCTTATCTTTTATCTCTTTTATTATTTTCTATGATGACTATTAGTTGTAATGCATGCACTTAGCCCATTTGGAGCCAGTGACTCAGAAGAAGACATGTCCCCCTTCCTAGCACCTTCCACCTTGAACAGGCAAAGAGCAGACAGGAGAGGCAGGAAGGGGTTCTGCTTTTGCCCACCTCTCTTCAGCACATCGGTTCAGTTAACATTTCCAGTCGTTAGACTTTTTTACCCTGCACAGACCATAAAATGAAGGTGTTTCTGCCTATGCCACCTCAAGGACCACGGGTCAGATACTAGTGGCGTAGCTAAACAGAGAAATATTTTTTTATATCATGTTCAGAAACATCCCGAGAAAGTCATGAGCAGGAAGGAATCACTTGGAGCCAGACCATGTCTAAAGTGTAGTAAATATCATCTTCTACATCTCTCTGCCTGTAAATCACCCGGAAAGATGTTTTTATTTTACACCTCTCCTTAGTCAGCTAACAGTCATCCTTTTCCCTTCATGATTTCAGATCACAAGCAGCAGCATTAATATTGTTTGATTAAATAATATTAACCTAAGACAAAATACCATCAGTTAAGCTGATTTCTAAATTTCTGACATGTAAATTCCATAGACTATAGCTTTGGACAGCTCAAGGAGTGATTCCTAAATTTAGGGCTGCAGCCCCAAAGGTGGTGGATATATTTATGAGCGGGATCTCAGAACAACAGAAATCCTCTGCCTTTTGCTAGTGGATGTGGTCATGAATCCATTCACAGCTGGAATTGGGATAGTGATGGGGTAAAGTTTGGGGACAACTCTCTAAGGGCACATTCCAGCTCTCCTTAATGTGTAGCAAGCTGAGGAACAGAAGCAGCTTTGAAACTACTAGCAGAAAATAACAAATAATTTAGAGATGGGTTTGAACAATGTCTATATATGCAAATTCCAGACCCCAAAAAGCATTTTAACCTTGCAATGTAGAGCAAAGTCTAGTGCAAGCACACATGGATTCATTTTCATCTTTATCTAAAATGATTTAGTTTCGTGTAATTCAGAAAGGTACCGTGGCCGTTAGGAAGGCTCTGCATAGACCTTAAAGCTCTATTGCAAAACTATAGCAAAAACTTTCTTGCGGGGAAGAGGAAAGCAGTGGATATGAGCAGCAGAAGGTGCTCTGGAAGAATAGAAATCTCACTGTGGCTGATCCAGTCCTGGACTTCACCACATCCTCAAAGGGAAAGATTGATGGTGGAAAGCAGTCTCCATAGGAGAAGGCAATACCAGTCTCCAAAAATGAAACCAACAGATGAGAAAGGCTACAATATATCTAAGAGGATTAGCCTTCTGTGATGGTTAGATAAACGCAATAGGAGATACGGGCTCTCCTTTCACAAGGACTCCTTCCACCCTTCTCTGTATCTCAGTGCAAGAGCCAGAGCAGAGACGGCTGGAGAGCAGAGCTGGTGACTTTCAGCCCGATGTGGCTGTGACTAGAGGCTGGTGAGGAGAGAGAGAGACATGAAAAAGCTATCACCTTAACTGATAATCCCAGTTCAGTTAATTCTTTTTTTAACCCTTCAGTTAATTCTTTTTTTATCCCATTGCTTGGAGGTAGGAATGGAATCTCAACACAGAAACAAAATCAGCTTTGCCTGGTTAGTTCCACTGAACCAGCTACCTCCACTGTAGAGCATTAGCTTCCTTGTGCTTGCAAAGCAAACACTGTCTTTACCTTCAAGCTTTGCCATGTAAGAAATGCCACAGAAAAATCCGCAGGAAAAACTGCATGCTAAATACATAAATTAAAACCACTGAAGTCTGGGTTTGGGTGTTTCTGTCCCCAGATTTTAAAGCTATTTGATCCAATTTCATCTGTAGCTCATGTAAAGTCAAAGTTTGTCTTGACATGGGAACGGAAGATTGTTTTGACACAAACTGTGTGTTTATACAGGGATGCTGAGAAGTCCCAACTGCTTTAGATATATCAAAAAGTCTGAAGAAAGGCCAACAAAAATATGCTGGGAAATTATAATCATGCACCCCAGATCGGTTTGGTACTCCTGTGTCAACTGGTGGTGGTAGGATCAGGTTGTGTCTGTAACGATGGTATTATGAAGAGTGAAAATAAGTACATTTTGGCATAGATGACTTTTGCAGGAAATGTTCTAACTTTCTTTTCCTGGTCTTCAAATGCTTAATGCCCTTTCAGTGTAACTGTTCTGCCTGTGTAAATGCAGATCTCTGGTCTCCAAAGAGTCTTTAATAAATAAAATAGAGTTATGTTACATTTATTTAAAAAGAAGTAGCTCCTGACCCTACTGTAACAAAGGGCATTTTGCCATTGAGTTTGATGAAGCCAGAATTTGAGCCAAGGATACTCAGGAAAAGGTTAAACTCCTTGAGCGTTTAAAATTTTTGGGCGAAACTGCTATATGGGTCCAAAGTAGCATAGCAGATGGTCAACACAAGCAGATGAAATATAGCAGTATCCAGAATATTTCTCAGCTGGACAGAGGCGTTGTGTGTTCATGCACTCAAGGAGGAGTGCATGAAGACTTAATGGAGCTAGAGTCCACCTGGGGGAAAGGGTACTGAGGTTTTCCCTGGATCAGAAAGTAAGTGGAGATGGGCATGTGTGTGTGTGTGTTATGTGTGTATCCCTTCCAAAATGACATGCTTCACCAAAAGCTGGAGTGTTCACAAACTAACCCCTTTGTAACACCTTGACCAACAATGGCATGTGCTGATGGAATGTGGCTCCCTGAAAAGTCTCGTCTTCCTGCCAACTCCATTCCAACCCTTTCTGTCATCAGAGAGGAAACGATAACCACTGTGGTGAAGAGCCCAAGGCAAAGGGGAAGGGTTTCTCCTGCACGTTCTTCAGGTCATTCACCTTCCCGCTCCCCAAGAGCAGAGCCAACTCCAGAGCCAGTTTATGTTTCAAAGATCAGGCAGCCTGTCCACAGACATGAGCAGGAGGCAACACCGAAGTCTGCTGTTCCCATGCTTTTTGTCACAGAACCAGAGGACAGGCATGGAGCAGTAGCTAGAGATGTCGTCATAGAGCCCAAGGTGGAAGAGAAAAAGCCCAAATGGGTCGAAGTGGAAGAAGTAATTGAATTCAAAGTAAAAAAATCACCAAAACCTGCAAGGAAAAGAGGCTCTTCTCCAGCAAAACAAGAAAAAGATGACTCGGGGGTGTTAACATTCACTTTTCCCAGCTCAGGGCCTAGGCGTTCCCCGGAAGATGATCCAAACACAAACAACTCCAACAATAAATTAGTGGAACAGTCAAAATCTTTGCCTAATGACAATCTCTCTGAAGCTGATATCCAGCCCCTCGTGTATGCAGCTGAGCAGGAAGAACCTCAAGTCAGCAACGAAGACAGAAGCTCCCCTTGTGGGTCTGAACTAGGAAATAATTCATTTATGGATTATGGAGCTGAAGGAAAGGTCTTCCCACAGGAAACAAGTGCTCACTATGAGTCAGAGGTCGCTTCCCCACTGGTTGCCTGCGGGGGTGAACCTTTGGTCTTCAGTTTTGAGACAGCTGCTGCAGACCAGCACGAACTTCTGTTCTCACCAGCGAGTCCAGAAGTTACAGAAGAGGTAGACGAATTAGACGTATCTTGGCCTCTTGAAGAGGAGAGACCTGAAGTAACACAAGATGTCCTTCCAGAAGAAGACAATATCATTATAGTTGATGAACCAGAGGAACTACAGACAGATGACCTTAGCACCCGGGACCGCAAAATCTTAACCCACAATGGCAAAGTATTAACTTTGGAGGACCTTGAAGATTATGTTCCTGAAGAAGGTGAGACCTATGGGTGTCATGATCAGAACCATACGGCAGAGAAACCCTGTGAGATCTCCGTGCTCCAGACAGAGATTAATGAGCCAACGATTGGGAAACCAGTGCTGCTGAATCTGGTGAGACCTGTGGTGTCCAAGCCCAGGCAAACATTTTTCAGCCAGTTTGAGGAGCACGTTCCTGGGGGCATGTTCATGTCAACATCTAGAATAACCGGTATGCAGTCTGTAGGCCCCTCAAACATCTCTTTCCATGTGAGTGATACCTGCATGGCAGTGACACCTGGAGTGCATGCAGCAACAGCAGCAGCTTCTCCTGGTCCCTCCTTCACAGTGAAACCATCTTTCTGCACCGAAGTCCAGCTCTCAGCAGACAATGGACAGTCAAGCTTTAAAACTGAAGTTTCCACAAGAACCCTCAGCTATGGAACTGTTGGCGAGCCCGTTACCTTGCACATCAGCACAGAAGACCTCTCCCAAAGCTGAGCACACGCAAACATAATTTTCAACACGAAAGAAAGCAGCGTTTTAGAAAAAACTAATCAAATTGTAGTGGGTGAGGGGAAATGGTGGCAAAGATTGCAAGGTAACATGTACGAAGGAATACCTTCGAAGAAAATATATTTAAATATGATCTGTCAAGCTTTTCCAGTCTTAAAGGGAACATGTCTGTCAGAACAGTTTGTAATTTTAAAAGCTTTGATTGAGATGAACATATATCATTCCATAGCGGAGCAGTGACGGTAGGTTTAGGAAAAGCCTGATTCTCCTGCCTGTGACAGAAATATAAATGAATAAGTGCATTTTTGTCCATGAACTTAAAAATTATTTCAAGTGCCAATTTGTACATTATGGTGTGGCAAGAAGTTGAAAGTACCTAAGCTTTTCAGCATCCTTCAGCAGCCCGGGATAGGAGGACTATTTCCAACTACAGCAATCTCCCGTCACTGTGTGTGCCCGAAGCTCACGAAGCTTCACACTGCTTTGACTCTGCTCACTTTTGACACCAATTAGCTCTATCAAAATTTCTTCACAAGCCTTTCAACATGCGTAGTCTTGTTACATTACTTTAAACTTCTGCCACAGAATGAAACATATAGAAAATGTTGCATTTACTAGGGATGCAAAGGGCCGCTCAGACCTTTTCATTGAAATCCTAATTTGACTACAGTCAGTGGTGAAAATCCCACTGACTTGAGGAAGCCAGAATTTTGTCGTTACTGCTTTAAGTAGCAAAAAGACCATCTTTTTTAAATGACCGCTATTTCCAAGTCCACTTCCTAGTTGTCTAAAGATGCAGGTTTTATTATTCTGCATTCTAGTGCAGTGGATTTATAAACCATATCTTTTAAAATATATTTACTCAGCGTGCACCAAAAGATTAAAAAGCTGCACAAAATTACTTCTGCATCTATAACCAAATGCTAACACATACGAAGAACCACAAATGTGGTCTTTGTCAATAAACATTGCTGGAAGAATATTTGGTCTCCTGTACACGCTAGTGGTGAAGCATTACTGTTAAGAGATTGATGGATAATGTCTCCCATATGTGCTAAACGGAATTCACCACTGAGCTACCGCAAAGTAGCAGGAGCGCAAACACAGGTTTAAAAAAAATAAAGACAGACAACAGATCTTTACCATAAACGCCTGGTTGAAAAATACATCTGTTCCGAATGTATTGGGCTGCTTGGAAGCACTGCCAGTTGCAACCGCGTCGCTTTGCCGTAACCACGAACGCTGGGCTGTCTCGTAGCGGCCACCGCCTTCTGTCGCGTTTCTCTGCAGCGGGAGCGCTGGCTGAGGAGAAGGCTCGGACGCACTGAGCGTGGCCCATTCCTGTTGGCTTCACCGAAAACAGATGTTGCACAGACCTTCGACAAGTTGCTCAGCCCTAGAAAGAAATGAGCTGATAGGCCCAAATGTTGGTCCCAGTTGAAGTCAGCTGGAGTTTATCGTTGATCTCAGTAGGACCAAGCACTGGCCCTCTCTCTATCTGACAGAGATATGGGGTGAAAAGTCCCAGCTGAGTTGTGTAGAAGTCCTGCAACAGAAA